TAAAAATCCAGATAAATGACATGCCTCAAGCTGTAGCTGATGACTACATGTGTTTAAATCATATTAGAAAAGGAAAGCGAGGACTTCTAAGTATTGAGTTTGTCTATGTGAGAGCGGCGAGTGAAGCTGATGCCACAGATATCTCTGTATGTTTTAGAAAGAGGAGGGGAGTCGGACCGGGGGAACTGGTGTGAAAGGTCCTGTAGTGGTATGCGACAGAGGGGGTATCAGTTCGTGGAGGGTTTTCTGTGCCCCATTAGCAGTGTCAGAGGTCATGTGCCCCGGGTGTTAACCCTGGTGACCAGTCTAGCTTCCAGTCTGCCAGGGGACCCTGGTCCAGGGGTATTTATTACTTACCCCCACCCTCCCAGCACACACACACACACACACACCTACCCTGCTCCATCCCCCCAAACACAGCTCTCTTCATGGAGGAAAACAAAGCTCCCCCAGCCATTCCTCAGCCAGGGTACATGTACTAATTGGATGCATATCCATACAGTGATGCATGACGACCCATCTGTAGATTTGTGCTTCGGTGTGAAGCATTCTTGGGTCAACACCAGTTTATCCAAATCTTCGCCCGCTGCCATAAGCTTGTGCCTGCTACTGGCGTGTTTTATTAGAAATCAACTGGCGCTTACATGCGTGTGACTTTTTGTTTTTGTGGCATCATTTTTTGCGACTGTGTATAATTCCGCATGATGGATCGTTCACACATGGTTGCTTGCAAGTCAGTGTTTTGCCTTTGTGTATTTTTCTGTGAACTCGGGCATGCGCGTGTGTGTGTAGGTCGTGCAGTTTGCGTGCGACATGTGCATGCATACGTGCGTGTATCTCGGCCTGCTGTATGAGTTAGTGCTCTCAGTGTGTGAGTGTGGCAGAGGAAGGCCCTCAGCATGTCAGTATGTTTTAATGCTTCACATCTGGTTTCCTAATTTTCCTCCACCCCCCTCCTCCTCCTCCTCCTCCTCCCCCCTGCCCTCCCTTCAGCTCCCCTCCACTACGATGTCAGGACACTGTTTTGTTTTTTCAGGGTGGCGGTGGTGGGGGGGGGTGATGGAGGGGATGTCTGATGAGTGATGGCCCTGCATACAGGACGTCAACATTCTCTTCCTCTGCCTCGTCTCTTCTTCATCTTTTTCTTTTGTGCAGTCTCTTTCTATTTCCTACATCTATTAGGCATAATACAGAGGATCAGGAGTTACATATATTTACAAGTTCTTTTTTTTTCTTCTTTATTTTATTTTTTACCTCCGTCTGAGCAGCAGGACATTTGCTGAACAAAAATGACGACAATCTCCTCCCCCTCATTCTTTCCCCAAAGTTTTCTCCTCCCATAATTTTTGTATTAGGCCATAAATTTGTCATGTTTGGTGCGCTAACCTAAAATTGGACAACCAAAGCCAACTTCAGAAAAAGAGAGGAATGAGAGAGGAGTTTTCTAACTAACTTGAACTCTGCATTTAAACCTTTTTGCATGACATGCTTCAAGAGCCGGTGCTACCAATAAACCTTCATTTACAATGACCACAGAGGGTGATGTGTTTTATGACTATGTGAAAAGGCAGTTTATGTCAACAGTGATTAGTGCTGATGAATGCCTATGAACATTTTTGTTAAGTCCTGTGCTGCTTAGGTGCTCGCTGCATGATTAAGGCCATATGTAAAGCAGAGTCAGTAACACTTATGCATAACAGATGCCCCACAGGACTGAAAAATGTAAAACGGAGCATCCAACTAAGAAAATTTCTGAAAACTTTTTTTTATTTGTTTTTAGTGTCATTACTTGTGTGTTTGGTCACTGAATGAGGTTTTTGTCGCTGTACTGGGATATGGCCGCCTCATGCTGCAAGGCCTGTGTTTATTCTTGGGAACTGACGCAGATGCAGACAAAAGGGATTGGAGGCCTTGACAGAGATGCAGAAGTGAAGACAGAAAAGAAAAAAAAACACACACTCCCCGCGGTTCCACAGCGTAAAACGATCCCAAGGTTTAAGACTTGAGTCTATGTTTTGTTTGTGTTTCCTGTTTTAAGTGCGTCTGTGGAGGGAAGATGTTGCAGAAGTTAAAACTCGGTTTCCATTGCTGACCGCAGCACACGGTGAAATTCAATTTCTTTTAAAATTTGTCACCATTATAGAACAAAAAAATCACTACAATAATAGGTTTTATTTACAAAATGATTATTATTAATGAGAGTTTAAAAGTTGATTTATACTTCCCATCACTTATATTTTACAAACAGAGTGTTTTAACAAAATAGAATCACCATTTTGCACATGCGTTAAGGAGTAGAATCATTTGTAAACGTATAACAAGGCACATATTAACTATAAACATGCTGGAGTTCTTTGAAAATACCCCTTTTTTCTGCAATTTCCCCATGACATGAAGATCACCTCCTATTCTTTGCATGTTCTCCTCATCTCTTCCCTGTGGACGGGGAGGTGTGTGGGTGTATTACATTACCAAAACAAAAACAAACAACAGCAATATTAAACTTTTGCAACCACAATAGAGGAGGGGATAAAAAACAGAGGGTCCTCGACTTCTTATTAATTATGCAAGATTAGTCTAATTATAATTCAGCAAATGAATGTGTGGCAGAAGGTGCGAGGCGACGGGGCTGGGAGATTTGCATGTTAAGTGGGCAGGGGGAAGCGGCTAATGCATGCTAATATATGCGTCAATGTCTCGCTTTAATTTCAGCATTTGCAGCTGTGTGCGTCCGAACTGAGGGGGGTGAAAAGTTGACTCAATGGGTTTTTGGGAGGGGGGCAAAGGTGGGTGTGTCAGTGTATTAGAGTGTGCATGCATGCATGCATGTGAATGTGTGCTTCTATGTGTGTGTGTGTGTGTGTGTGCGTGAGGCATCTGGTGTCATACAAACAAGGAATGATGAGAAGAAGTCAACAAACAAGGTCAAGAACCCTCAGAAAGTGCACAAAGCCTGAGATAGATGCAGGCAGTCCCCGAATGAGGGTTGTGATTTTGCAATCTGCGGCATCACCACAGCAGAAATGTGTCGTGTCAGTCAGTCAAATGAGTGACGGCTTCGGGTTTGACTGTGCAGCGAGGAAACTAGTGTTGCCAAACCACAGCCAGAGCACGGACGTGGTTATTAAGTCAAAAATGGAGTTCCTGTGCTGTTATGAATTATGTTTTCATACTGTATATGGCGGCTATAGCCTTAAAAATGAGCCATGATGTAAGAATTATTGCCAAGGATATAATGTATATGCTGTATGACCCTCAAAGGAGGCAGTAAAATGAAACAGAACACTTTTGATTGTGGTCCACTTTCAGTCAAGAAGCAAACTTTATATCTTTCCTTGTTCAATGCACTGTATACGTGGTGATTTTAAATCCTGTTAATCTTCCGTCAAAGTGTCCAAGCAGTTGTAAGAATATTTGACAAAGTGGGACATCAGAGAGGAAACGAATGGAGGAACGACGTGGGAGAGGTGCAGATGTGCCCTTTTACATGTTCCCACCCCAGACTGAAGTCTAGCAAAGCTCTGAGGTTGGAGGTCCGAGCTCTCCTTGATAAATTGTAATCAGCCGCTGCCAACAACAATATTGATTGTCCTCCGACGAAATAGCTCAAATCAAGAAATATTGGACACGCTGGTTGGAACCGAGGACTAGTTGCAAGCCAGGTCCTGTTCACCAGGGAGGAAGCTGGAGCGAGTGATGGAAGAATGGCGAGTAAAAATCTGACAGAATGAGCGAGAGATTAGTATTCGACAGGAGGATTCAGGGCTATGGGGCCAATATGAAGTTCCTTTCCAAACAACCGCTCTCCATTAAGATGACTTATGTTTGTAGAGAGCACACTGTGGGTGGGATTGGAGCTGCCCTTGTAGTCCTAAAAAACACTGCCTCCTTGTGCAGCATTTTCCTCTGTGCTGTTATTCTGTGTTTAATTGGAACATTAACAGGACAGTGATGTGTTCACCGTGAAGGGAAGTGGACATCTACTTTGAGGGCTACATGTTTGCTAATTATCACAACCCCGCATCATTTCCCAGCTCGTTTTTATTTTGTTTTTAACACGCATCTTCTGCTTAATTTCTCATCACCGTGAGATTTGAAAGGATCTCATCTGCACCTGTCCTCTTTACATACTTTCCTGCATCTCACCTTGCCAAGTCTCCCTCCTCCCTCCTCGCTGTATTTCAGTGATGGAATGTGTTCTTGTTGTTGCCGTCTCTTTCCCATCGCTGTCTTTGCCTCTCAGCATGGGGACTTTGGGATTGCGGCAGAGCTGCGTTGCCATGGCAGCAGGCCGTGTTGCCGAACTGTGCTCACCTGGGATTTGGAGTCTCTCTCCGTAGTCTCCCTCTCTCCTATTTATTCCACCTTTCTCTCAGGTTTTTCTTTGGTGCAGCAGAGGCTATCAGCACCTCTCTCTCCCTCTCTGTGTCTTCACAGCATATCACACTCTAAAGTAAACTCACATACGTAATGAGACACATATACTTGAAAACAAAATTCATGTCCATACCAGCGCCTGTGCCTCTATCACTACCTTCCTCTTTCCACCTCCTCATTTCACTTTCTCTGTAGTTGTCTAGTTGTCTCTACTTCGTTTCCCTCTCCATTCCCATGTGGGGGTTCAAATACGGCATTGCGGGATACCACAGTCCCCAGAGTCCGCTGGCATACATCACTGTCTCTAGTTTACTTTGAAACAGAGTAGCGCTTTTCACTGGACTGTGCTTCAGAATCTCATTACTTGATTTAAAGTGTAATAACATTGACTTTAATATTAAACTAAACAGCTGGGATTGATGTCAGAATTGTAATCAGATGTACACACACACACACACAAAGCCTGTCTGACAAATAATTAATGTCTCCTTTGACTGCCAATGCGTTATTGCAACCCGACTACAGGGCAGCAAAAAAAAAAAAAAAATCATGTACATGATTCTTTCATGTGATTTTCTTAGTTGCTGATGTACAAACACGTGTCCTTTTATTTACCTTTGCAGGTTTTTCTTGAAGTTTTTCCTGAAATGCAACCAGAATTGTCTGAAGACAGCAGGAAACCCGAGGGATATGAGGAGATTTCAGGTACAAATAAATGGGGGGAAAAAAGCATGTGTGTGAGTGTGAGCTTGTGTGAGAACAGAGAGAGGGACGGTGATAATATGGGACTGGAAAAAAAAAAAAAAGTCCCCTTCATGCCCCTTAATCTGGATGACAGTATTCAATTTCTTATCCAGTCTGCTTCCTCGCCGAATTCACACCACAAACTCTCTAAACTCTGGAGAAGTTTTCCAATGGAAGGCCGAGAGGAGGGAGTTAAAGGTGAAAGTTAAAAATCAATAAGGAGTCAGGGAGACGGAAAGACAAACGAAAGAAGTTAGATATGTGGGAGACTTGGTCGTGGGGGTGCTGGGGTGCAGGAAATAGGTTGAGGTGTTTCAGGAAGTTGTCAAGAATTGAGTGATTGGCTCCAGATGGAAGAGGTCATGCTCCGTGACCCAGGAAGTGGTCACAGGGGACGCTCCCGCCTCACTTCCTCCGCCGTCTTTCAGCACCAGCGGCCTCTGTCTGGCATTCTCCTTCTCCCGGCAAACCTTGGGTCCCTTCTCCTTCTTTCGTGCTCCCCCTGTCTTCCACCATGTTTGCTTTAACTCCTGTGATGTGACACATGCTGAGAAGTTATGAGCACGCAGGCGCTCCAACACTCTCATCTCTGGGTTAAAAGGTGTTCAGAGCTGGACAGGAGTCTGCTGCTTGATCGATAATTTACAGTTATTTTCCTTTAGCTTTCCCTCCCTTTCCGCCACCTATAGAACATATGCTTTTTCTCCTTTTTTTTTCTTCTTCTTATGTTCTCTCACCTGCAAAGTTACTACCATGTGTTTATATCGAAGGGAGGTTTTATCTTTGCTGCCTGATTTTCTTTATCTATCTGATAAAAATATCTGCGGCTAAGCATTTAATTTAAAACGTCCTCTTTCCCACTGACCCCGTCCCTTTGACTATCCAAACACGCTCATAAACACGGGCACGTACAAACTCATTATCACTTTTAGAAATAGCATCACATCAACCCTCATAAATATCCAAAGAGAAAAGCCTACATGTGTCCTCTCATTAATTATACGTGCGTCATCCATGTGAGGCAGATGTGAGAAGGGACACACACATGCTGTGGCCAGAAAATCCAATTAAGGCCACTATATATCATCCTCTGCTTTAACGGCCGGCTAAAATGGGAGATTTGGTCCATATGTTTGGTGTCATTGAAGGATCAGGAGGAGACAACGATGGGCCTGCTGCATGCTGTATGAATCAAAAAGTTAGGCAAGAGGCAGCGGAGAGGCCATATGGAGACCTGATGGAGGAGTGGAGGGGTGCGCGAGCTGTGTCATCCCCAGAATGCAGACGTATTATGGCGATCCCAGGGATGTCACATTACCTATTGAGAAATATTGCTATCACCTGTATCCCGAAACAAATTGTTGCTCAGGGATTTTAGTGCTGTAACCGGAGATTGTGACTCGCAGCGTGCTGTCCAAGCGGTGCACATACACTCATGTATCTTCCTCTTGGCCCTTCTTCCCTCTTTCAGGTGGTCTTGTCCAGCACCGTGAGCGTAGACGGCCACGTCCTGGCCGTGTCCGACAACATGTTTGTCCACAACAACTCAAAGCACGGTCGGAGAGCTCGCAGGCTGGAGCCGGGCGAGTCTGTCGAGAATTCCATGGAATATGGTAAATAAAAAAAAAGAAATAAAAAATGACACTACAATGTCACACCTCATTTACCTTTAAAATAAAAAAGCATTTCATGTGTACTCACTCACTCAGAGACACAAGACGTTGTCGAGCAAACTGTAACAGCAGGTTCTTGAGTTGCCTAATGTCCATTCATAATCACCATGATAGATCAAACAGAACCAGTGATGCTACTGAGGTCATTAACTGAGCTAATTATTGCATTAATTAAATACTTGTCATTGAGTATTATATCATAAAATGTCACTAGCATCTCTGGATGATCTTATCTTAAATCAACATACTTAAGCATGAAGAACAAAATCAAGCACAAGTTAAGGTCAGGTTCCAGTTCTAGGTCCTGAAATCACATTGATCTCTAAACCAAGAAACAGACATCACGTTTGCTTGTGCGGTCGTGGAACAGAACCAGGAACATTTAGCCAGGTTCTGTGCTTGACTCCATTTCAGACCAATGACATGGACCATTTTCCAGCATGTTGGTGCTTTTTACATTTTACTTGTAATACACCTGGATTTTTACTTAGGAAGTAAATGCAGGGATGTTACTTGTAATCGAGCGTTTCTACACCGTTCTGTAGCTACTTTTACCCAAGTTAAAGATCTGATTGTTTTTTTCCACCACTGGTCCAGTGTCTTTGAGATTTTAATTTTTTTTGTACACGACAGCAATACATTAAGGTCAGATGATTTCTTGACCTACATTTGGAATGGGCCTCTTTCTTTCCAATAATGTACTCTTCGTTTTTGTCAGAATTATTCATGGAGAAAAGTCACGTCACAAATTAAATTAGGCTACCGTAGCTATGAAACTATGCAGATTTTATTTTTACTTAACTTTAGCTTCCCTTGCATTTTGTTTTATATACCCCCAAAGAAACATCATCTTTACGTTCCTCTTCAGATATTTACTGCAAGCATCTTTTTAAACTATCATCTCTTTTAACTATTTCACTTCCTGCATCGAAACCTTTGGAGTAAGTCATGCTTTTTTCTCCCGTGTAGCTACCCCATGTATTAAAGCCATCAGTCCCAGCGAGGGCTGGACCACCGGTGGGGCCATGGTCATAGTCATTGGGGAGAACTTCTTTGACGGGCTGCAGGTGGTGTTTGGAAGTATGCTGGTGTGGAGTGAGGTAAGAGTTGTCTTCAGAACATCTCACTAATGAGGCCATGGACTAAAACAGATTCTGAAATAAAATAAAAAGCACATGGCTTGTATTTGGATGATGTATGGGCGTCTACGGAAATTAATCTTTCCTTCGTGTTGTGTTAGCCTAAATATTTACAAGGCACGGGGTGGGAGTCATTTCTTGCTGTTTTGTGACACAGTTTCTGTGCTTCATCCTCAGCTGATCACACCACACGCCATCCGTGTTCAGACGCCTCCTCGACACATCCCCGGGGTCGTGGAGGTCACACTGTCTTATAAATCTAAGCAGTTCTGTAAGGGAGCACCTGGACGCTTCATCTACACAGGTATTTACACACATGACTGTGCTCTTTTTGTCTGTGTTATCCACATACCGAGAAATTTTAAACATTCGGTTGTGATGAATGGTGGCTCACTATCTGTTTCTTTTTCTTCAGCCCTTAATGAGCCAACTATAGACTACGGTTTTCAGCGTCTGCAGAAAGTAATTCCTCGACATCCTGGTGATCCAGAGAAACTAGCCAAGGTTAGCCAAGGCTCCTAAATAAATTATGCTTGCATGCTCATGATTATTTTTCAAGAAGCTATGTACATATTACATGTATGTTATTAGGATGTTAATGTCATAAATTCTGCTCTTTGCAGGAGATCCTCCTGAAAAGAGCTGCAGATCTTGTGGAGGCCTTGTATGGAAATCCACATAGTAATCAGGTAAACAGAGCTTTGTGTGATACAATGTCCCAAATACCTAAAATAATAGATACTATATAAACTGAATATGAACATATTTTAACGATTACAGCGGCTACTTTGTATGTTTTGCCCATAAACTATTATTAGTGAACACTATACATTACTGCTGACCATTTTCCAGAGCATTGGTTGAAAGATTGATTTCCTTCTTTCAAAAGGTCATCGGTTTTCCAGTCATTACTCAACTATATGGAATAATAATACAATTCTGAGAAAGGAACATTTTGAAAAGATTTGCAATGACTCTTTCAAGGAATTTTAAAATGTTTGACTTGGCTACCAAAAAGTGCAGAGCACAGAAGCTACGTTGTCAGAGCTGAGCCCATAAGATAAAACAATATGCAACTGCCACACTGCACTTTTAGTTTGTGGCAGGTGATTTTGTGTTCGCAGATTAAATGAGAACACTCGAATGCACCAGCATGAGTCCAAAACTTGTCAGCGGTACCGTTAGTCTATGTAACTTGTAGTTAATGTGCTAATTGGGTGTAGCTTACACATTCTCAGCTTTAGACACTAATTAGTGCATCGCTGTTTACTGGCAGGCCACAGATATATGAATTAACAGCATGTTGGCAGCCGAACAAAACCGTTTTATCTTCCTGTGACTGTGAGACTGACCCGTTGTTGGCCGTTTTGTTTGATCTCCTGTAGGACATGCTGCTGAAACGTGCAGCCGACATTGCTGAGGCGCTCTACAGTGTTCCTCGTCCTCACAGTCAGCTCCAAGCACTGCCCAGCTCGCCCGCCCACGGCAGCGTCATGGGCCTGGGCTCCTACCCCTCTCAGTTGGGCGTTAGCATCGGAGAGCCGGGACAGAGCAGCCAGGGTGAGCAGAATGACCTATAAGCTACTCTCCTCTCCTGTTTTTACCACTAATGAAGCTCAAGTCTGACCCAACATTTTCATTTTTTCCTCCAGGTTACATCCGCAACTCCAGCAGTTTGTCTCCAAGGGGCTACCCGTCAGCCTCCACTCCCCAGCAGTCCAGCTACGGGAGCAGCGCGGGGATGACCGGAGGCTATGGGACAGTTCCCATGACTAGTCTAGGAGTCCCTGGATCTCCTGGTTTCAGCAGTGCCTCCCCCACAGGCTCCCCATACAGTAAGACCTCCCCTGCTCTCTAAATGTCACCGTGTCTTGTTGATAAAGTTCACTATGCTGATTCTGCTGTGATTTTCAGACTCAAGGTTGACTGTTGCTCTCCGTTCCACAGTAATGCCCTCCAGCCCCACTATACCAGGAAGCTCCAGCTCCTCATCGTCTCTCTTGCCTTTCTCCTCCTTCCCGTCTGCTGCTAAACAGAAGAGTGCTTTTGCTCCCGTCCTCAGGCCCCAGGGCTCCCCCTCCCCTGCCTGCCCCGCCTCAGGGGGGAACAGCTTCAGAGGTAGTCACCCAACTCACTATCTGACCCCCCTGTCTGAACTTACGAATGCAGTCTAACCCCTCATACTAACTAACTCGAAAGCTTTGACTGAACAAGACAGAGAACAGTTGCTGGATGTACAATAATGCAAGACCTGATTGATTAGAATCATAGATTTTGTATATTTTTTTCTCTCCAGCGATGACGGGCCTGGTTGTTCCCCCGATGTAGCAAAGCACCCGCCCCAATCTACCCCAGACCACTGCTTCACTTAGCCCCTCTTTTGGCACTGAGAGGGCAGGGAGAATGGAAAATTGATCACTAGCGACCGTGTAAAACTTTCCTCCCTGACCGCCCCCCCGTCCCCCCGCCCCCCCCTCCTAACCTCAGCCATTTCTTAGTCCCTTTTTCATCCAGTTGGATGAACAGGATGGGGTATGAAAATGTCCAAAGACCAGCCATCTACTCCAGATGCAGAGGAGAGCACTTCACCCACAACTAAAGACAGATCGTGCTCCTTAGCTAACGGCACCAGACTGGACCGAACGCCGCTGTGTGTGTGTGTGTGCGCGTGTAATGAAGCATCTGAAAGGAAACAGAGGAAAACTAATTTCACCTCAAGCTTCAAAAGCGTCTGTGTTGACCTCTGGCCTACTATCACATGCAGTATTCAATTCTTTTCAACACCTGCCCAAAACTTTGGCCAGAGACTTCCAGGATGCACTGTGAGAGCACTGACGGATGACAGACGACTCGTAACGTTGCAGCTCTAAAAAAGCAGGGTGCTATTTCGTCGATGTATGGACACCTTAAATGGCATGTGTGTACACTGTCTGTGAGTTAGCAAGAGGTTGTTTTTTTTTTTCTTGTTTTTTTTTTGTAGTAGACTTTTTGAACACAATTTACATTCCAGAAAAATAGACCCTTTATTTTTTGTTCTGATGTCTACGGTTTTTCAAGGGAGAACTCTTTGTCTCAAGGGTTATTACTAAAGGAATTCATATATTGATTTATTTAAGAACAAGCAATTTAACTTATTATAGTTAGCTTAGGGAATAATATAAACGTGTTTTTATAAAGTGGTCCTTTTTCCAGCTGTTACTGAAATGAAGTTATCTCAGCAATTGCTAAATAATTTGGTAAATGATCGCAGGAAAAGGATTTTTCAATTTTGGAGAGGATAAATTCACTTTTTTTGGAATTAAACACCCCCAGTTTGCAGGTTCTTGCATAACTAAATATTACTGTTATGCCTGCAGTTGAAGAAGGATATTGTCCTTGTGTAAAGGAAAACATTAGTTAGCCTTATCCTTTTTCATTTCACTTAAAATGCATGCTTTGTTACACCAATGCCCTCATACTTTTTGTTTTCATTCAACATTGCAAATTTAAATTCATATAACTATGACTTATAGATTTTACAGTTTCATTTTCTCAGCCCAGTACAGGTCTCTAGTCACTATGCAGTACAGTAAATAAAAGCACAACTGCTCAAAAGAAAAGAAGCGGGCGTATTAGGTGTTCATTTACCCTCATCATCTTGTTTTTACTGCTTATTGTTAACTTTTTGTCATCACAACACAAACTGCATTCTCAGGACGTGAAAACAAAGAACACAAAGAGTAGATGACATTTGCAAGATTGTTTTTAGAGTTCGGTTAACTTTATTTATTTAAAAATTATTAGCAATTTATTATTATGTTTTTTGAAGCCATTTTTTTTCCCTTTGAAACAATACGAAAAAAAAAAAAAGTGCAAATGTGATTTGTATATTTCAAGGTGTAATTATATTTTGTGCTCCAAATAAAACAAATGAGAAAAAAAAAGATGCACAATCCAGTTGTTTCAGTCTTTACCTTGTATTAAATTGTAACCTGCCTTGGTGGTTTCCTTTTTTTTTTTTTTTCCATGTGTTAGCACAAACAGAATTGCACAGCAAGTATTTCCACACTCACTGTATCATCTGACAGCTTCCTGGACATTAAGACTTCCCCACAGTTCTCCACATCTCAGGGTTGTGCTGGATCTATTTTTGACTGTGCCCATCACCTGTGTGCTCGTGCAGCTTGTTACACTGTTTTGTATACATAGCTGATGAGCCGCAGCATCTTAATTGTGATGCGAGCGTTAAAGACTGAGTAGAGCATGTCAAGATAAACAACACCCCCCTCCCGTCTCTCTCCTCTCCAATAAGCCTGCTTCTCTCCGAGGACCAAGCCTCTGGGGGCCCAACTGAGAACCACATGAGTCTCCCTCCATCGCGGCCTCCTCCTCCTCCTCCTCCTCTTCGTCTCGTTCTCTCTCTTAAAACACACACACACACACACACAGGCATAGGCATGTGCCTCACTGCCGCCTTGTTTTTCAGTCTTTGTTTGGTACTGCTTCATCCCTTCTTTCTTTCTCTCCTCTGTTTTTTTTTTTTTGCTCCCTTGAAATGGCCCTTCTCTGTTAATGTAATTAGCACTGGTAAAGAAGGGCAGTTAATTACCCACTCTATTTTGATCGGGTAATTAATGTTATGCCAGGAAACAGCAACTGTTTCATTAACATAGCCCTCAAAGCAGTGAGGGGGTAGGGTAGCACCCAGTGGATGCACGTCTGCATGGTGCTGTGTGTGTGTGTTTGTGTGCTCCACATATGGACCGACTGTGTCCCGGTGACAGTGAAAGACACGTGGACTTCAAACATCCGACACTGTCTGCGATCTGACCTCGGCGGCGAGGCTCTCTTTCTCCCCGCGCAGTCTTTGTCGCCATCAAGCAGCACTTGCACCTGCTCTTCCTCATCATCTCTCCCTCTCTCTTTCTCCCTCCTTTGATATGCTGTTAATTTGACAAGTTAAAGTCAGCTTTGTTGCCAGCACCTCAGCATTCATCTTGCTGAGTGCTCCTTCTGCCCAGTGGTGCAGGAGCCATATGCTCCTCTTCCACATGACTGTTTTGTTGCTGCTGTTGTTTCGCGAGTGTAGCGGCGCCATTCACTGTTTTTCTGATCACACTTTGGATAAAGACAGGATGAGATGCCACCTGCCACCAAGTCATTCCACATCACACTGCACCAACAGCTTCAAAAGAGCATCTAGCTGCTGGGTATGTGGCAGCACAACCATGTCATCTTTCATTATCCATACTGCTGAAGTGCTGATGAGCCTCATGTTTAAGTTACAGTATTGTCTTCCTTACAACTGAGGGAGCACAAAATACACCCTTCCCTGCTTCCCTCTCTGGGGATGTGTTTGTGTTTATATACCCAATTAGCCCTCCGGCCACAGCATGGCCATGCATTAGGCTGACATTAGCCCCGGGTGTATGCAGCGTCTGTGTGCATGTGTGTAAAATACAGTGCACCCCTTTCTCATTGGAGGCATAATTTCAGGGGTGTGCGTGCCTTATTAGGCAGACTGAGGCAAAGCTTGACAGGGGAGGCCCGCTGATTTGTCAGATAGATTGGTAGATTGGCTTCCACGCACCCAGCCAGTGTCCTTTGCCTTTGGCCCATCAGTAAAACCTGCATTGTTGCCCATTAGACCACTGGACCCCGATTCCTTTTTTCCCAAAATGAATCCCCCCCTCCCCGCCCTCACCCCTTCTGCCATTCCCTTGGGTGTCAGTAGAGTGGGGTGGCAGATGGGACAGACACAGAGCTGCCCCATGAGACACCCCCCCCCACCTCCAACAAAACACACACACACACACACACGTGCATTCACATATAGGTGCACACACACGCGCTCAGACATGCATACATGCACAAATGCATATGCACAACACGCACACACAGAGCACAGCAGCAACACATAGCTCCCCTGCCCCCAGACACAAACCTCATCTGTCAGCCTGCTGCTTTTGTCCAGACCACAGGAGTGTGTTTTCTGTGAACACAGAGTGACGTCTCTGTCCCTGCCTCTCAATCTGTGCTCTGTGTACCTGGGTTTGTGTTTTTGTGTGTCAGACAGAAGTGCACAGAAACAGCTTCCTGGCACGAAACGTTTAAACTGGAATGACACCGACAAGAGAAATGACATATTAAAATGTCACTGTGCTGTGTTTGTGTAGCTCCTAAGGTGTTCACATCCTGTATATGTGTATCAAATCGAGTAGGTTTGCATGAATTCTTCTATATTTTTGATAAATCATGAGGCATTTCATCGTATTGATATTAGATTTATTAATACAGACAGTTAAAGATGGGAATTCTGTAGGCCTGACATGTGGTTCTAATCATAACTTAGTTTGTGCAAATGTTTACACTAAACACACCAAACCTGTGTCCAAATCTGTGTGTGTGTGTTTTTTTAAACCCCCACTCTATTCTTTCATTGACATTTGCATCAGATTGTGGCTTTATCTAGATTACGGTGCCCTGTTGTGCAAATATACACAAACTGAAGCTATTTGGTGTCACCCACTTGTTAATTTATCATTTAGAATTTTTGCTCACCTGTCTGTTATTGGATCTCCTTTTCTATCTTTCTAAAGTCGACCTAGTTAGTTAGTTGATTAGCATCAGCTTGGTAAAATGTGAAGCAAGCAGACTTTCGGCCTACTGTGATCTGTTTGTTGGTTGGAAGGCCTTTTATGTCACAATCTTTCTCCTCCTCTGGGTATAATATTGACAATTAGCCAGATTAGAGGACTGGGGATGCAATTTGGGCCAAATGCACGTATTGGCTGTTTGTGCACGCGGCTGTGTGAGGTGAGAAGGCCCCACGCTGGTGATTAATTACAGCCAGGCCGCGTGACAGAGGTGGGAGCTCTCCCAGTGCTGTCTGCAGCCGACATGGAGGGAAACCCAGCCTGGCTAATTGACCCGGCTTCTGTAAGGCCATCCATCAAGCGTGGCCCGAGTGGCCCCGTAAGAAACACATTATTCAGAGGTAAGTTAGTTAACCAACTAGTGCTCCACCATTCATTAATGGTATTAGCTCCTCTCCTGTCTTTCTCTGCAAACCGCTGCGTCCCTGAAATGTACAGTTTTTGTAAAAATGGAGTTTTAAGGCAGTATAACCCAAATCAAGCTTGTTTTTGAGTGTCATTGTTGTTTTGACTGATATTTTCTTAATTTGCACCCCTTTGGCCTTAAAGCACTACAGCTAAGACAGATAGGCCCAGAATGAGCAGCTCATGTTGACACCACATAACTTAAAGTGAAAATCATTTTCACCTTTTCAAACAAGGGAGATCGGTTTGTCTTGATGTCAATGCAATATTTATTT